CAGCTGCATTTCGTTTGTTTACATTTGATTTTCAGGGGCAAGCACAAGTAACGGCGAATTATTGGGTCGAAAAGAAAATACCGAAAAGGGGACCAAGAACAAAAAACAATAAATGATCGTCACTCACTCGGTATTTTTGTGCCGCAAGTCAAAATAGCGAAAGCTCTTCTTGTCTCATCCTTGGTAGTTTTGTCAGCAAGTCAAAACGACGAAAGCTCTTCTTGCCTCTTCCTTGGAAATTCACAATTTTACACAAGCAATTCACAATGCACAGAAACATTTTAATTCGGGCCAGTGACAATAAATTTGAAGCACATAAACAAACAAAAAATAATTTCTTGCTTATACACATTACATTCACACAAACACGGCCCGTAGATTTTCCGGATTTTCGCCCGTTTTCCGGATCTGATCACTTTGGAGGGATATTCCTTTCGATTTACCGGCACCTTTTCCGAACTTTTTCATCACTTCTTTCGCTCACGACCGAACTTGGAGCTTTAAGTACCGTATAGATCCCATTCACTGGCTTCAAAGCTCCTCCGGTCGCCAGCCAGGGCTCCTTTTTTCTTTTGCCAAAACTATTGATTGCGTTATTTGCCTGTGTTTATTTTATGATATAAGTATTATTTATCACTGCCCACTAATTAAACACACGTTTTACACTAAAATTAAGACGCGCAACCTGCGAATTTCGATTGATTAATATTGCACTTCACGCGCAGCAACTTTTTAGCGACTGTAGTTCGGGAGCGATGAAAGAAGAATGACGGACTTGGCGAGAGAGCGGCACTCTCTCTCTCAGCTGTTGGCGATATTTGCAAATGAGATCGAGCTTTCACTTCCACTGACAAATTGGCTCCACTTTTCTCCACACGATCCATTAATCAAGTGGATGTATCGTCAGGGACTTCTCGTAGCTTGTATCTGTTAGATACTCTTTGTAACGTTATCTTCAGATCTCTAGAACCTAATGGATTTGGCAAATAGAATTTTACATTTTCGGATATTTATAAACATTTTATCCCTACTCATAGAATTTTAGTCAAACCATGAAGAAGTCATTTCCGACCCTATAAATATATATATTCTTGATCAGCATTAACAGCCAGTCGATCTAGGTATGTTTCAAAGAAAAAAAATTATCAAATTTTTTCAAATTTTATAAGGGCTTACATCATTAAAATTTCAAAATTTGGCAAAAAATTGAATTCTTTAAATTAAAAACTAAGTATGCAGATTGTTTCCATTAAAAACTAGCAAAGACGCTTTCCGATTGAAATTAATGATTTTGGCTTTGTAATGATAATTGAAAACTTGAATTTATCAAGAAATTAGTATATGTTTTATATTGTTTTAATCTGAAATAAATCATAGATTCTAAAAAAATACAAATAGCCAACTCTGACAGGATTTCAGATTTATACAAGAAAAGAAACAGACGCACATGAGCTCTCGCTTCTCAGAGAGAAAAAGGCGACTGTGGTGGCTGCTGTGTGGGTGGCTGTGGTGGGTGGTTGAGGCGGTGGCCTTTTGACCCGCCCTGCACAAATGCATGAATACTTATGGATATGGTTCTCCCAGTGCATCAGAGCTAGTGCTTCTGCTGGATTTTCTAGTGGGCGGTCGCAGGCGGGATTGTCATGTTTCTCGCTTGTATTGCACTGACATCTGGGGGACATAATTCGTTGACACACAGCCCCCCCCCCCTTCCACACACCCGAACACACACATTTATTTGTGTGCTTGTGTCTTTATATATACATATATATAAATTCTGAGCGGACTTTGGTCGGGCTTCCTTTTTTCCTTTACCATTTCTAGGGGTTTGCTTATGTCGAAACTGCACTAAATGCATTTAATGCCAAAAAGCTTCAAAGAGAAATGCTAAAATACATATACATATATTTTTTAAATATATATAAAATTGGATTTTTTGGTATAGATGGAATATTGGTTTTAGTTTGCATCGAACACTTTTTTAATTACTTTTTGTCGAGGAAAATTTTCTATTTACGCAACAAGAATTTCCTCAATAATATACATCAATTTAAACAACTTCAAAACATTCTTAAAGACAAATATTTAAAAATAAGAACTGTACAAAAAATTTGAGTGACATGTCTTATCCAAGATTTACACAGGCTTAACACAGCCATTTTTCGGTAACCAAATTTATGCAGCCACCGACAGGAAGATCTAAGAGGGGAAAAAACAAACAATCACGTGCTTACCTCTCCCCCCCCCCCAGGATACCCAATAATTTATTAATTTTCCCACGGGTATTGAGCCCCTTCGGATGTCCTTCCATCCGGCCGTTTGCACGTATCCTTGGGTGCTGGGGCTGAGAGAAACCCACTGCTCGGCGAAGCGTTAAAATGCCACCATTAAAAATCAATGTTTAAAGATTTATGAGCTTGACAAAGTGTTAATTACCAGAGGTAAGGTAGAAAGCAAGGTGATGGCGAAGGACGGCGTCAAAGAGAAAGATGGGCCCCAAAAAAAAAAAAGTAAAAGTCCTGGCACAACAATATGTACACAGAGCCATAATAAGGAATAAGCTGGGGGAAAACTTCTCCCCCAACTTGACCCAGTGCCTTTAACCCTCTTGTTTACTCCATTAAAGCCAGGACATTTATCGGTTAAAATAGAAAAAATATATAAATAAAAGCACATTTGTAGCTTATTCAAGAGCCATTTATATTCATCAATAATTTAGTAATTGATAGTTGTTACTCGAGGCCTGCATTTAATGGGTCAAATAAAATAAAAACCAAAGGTAGTTCGAATTGAACTAATGAAAAAGTAGTCGCATAATTAAATACTTTAAATGGTTTGAGTAAGGGATAAATTGTGATTGATTTAAATGTAATTCGAAACAATTTACACAAAGATTTAAAGTCTATTTTTTAGGCATATAATCTGATTAATTTGAACAGTTTTTACCTTTAAATTGTTAAAGCAAGGGAATTTAAAGAGCTTGGCTGAAATGGTCATAAATACTATATATAAATACCTGGATTTTCCAAAAAAGGGTTCAAGGACGGAGCTTATTCAGACATTTACTAAATTTACCTTGAGCCTCAATAAAACCAAAATGTATGGCAAAATTTTGGTTTTTAGCCGTCTGGCTCCCAAATTAAAATGTAATTCGCGATACAAAAAACTAAGGAAAACCCGCGCAAAACTTTACTTTTAATCAGACCAAAACAAAACGAGCGAAAATACTTACAAACAAAATTACATACAAAAAAACAAAGGACAAAGACACGCCAAAGGACATGGAAGAAGAAGCAGAAACAGCGAAGCCGAAAAGTAACAGAAAATGGGAAGAGAGGAGCTCTCATAATTCCACGGCCAAAAGCGAAATTCAACGACAACGACAACGGCAAGGAGTAAAATAGGAAAATCAACAACCGAAAAACGTAAAAAGATGCCAGCCAGCAGTTTCCCCCCCTGTTACTTTTACTGTCGGCTTTTTCGTTTGTTTCTATTTTTCATATATATATATGTATATGTATATTTTTACTCTATTTTTATTTTCCTTATTTTGTTGTTGTAGTTCACCACATAAGCTGCAAGGGACACGTGAGGTTTCTCAGCGACAAAAACACAAAGTATACATATATGTGTGTGTCTGTGTCCACATATAGTATAAATATACATATGTAGCCCCTGTGCGTGTGAAGGACGCACGAAACGCCTTAAATATGCTCCAACTACTAAAGAAGCCATAAAGCAACAGCCAACAGCCAACACCATCAGCCATCAGCCATCAGCCAAACGGCCAAAAGCAGGCAAAACAGGCCACCGCAGGAATAAGCCAGCGACGCTCTGTTGCCACCGCCACTTCATCGCTCACTTTTCCTTGCAACAGCCACCGAGCCGAATTCCACCGGCCTGGGAACACATCCTTTCGGAAAGTCCAGGTTCGGGTTGGATATTAGCTCTGGTTTAATGTTGGAGTTGCAGGGGAAAAGCCGGTTCAGGAACCGGAAGTGTTAAAAAGTCGGTCAATTTTAACATTGAAATGTTGTAAGGATATCTTGTGCATTCTCCTTTATGCCAAAATGTTAAAGTGCAGCATGTTAACCAAAGTGGGATTCAAAACAAGGGTATTTTTTCGGGTTACATCATGTTAAAATGTCCTTCATGTTAACATTAAAACTGCTGGATGTTAAGCATTGTTATGTTAATAACATATGAACATTTTTTTTGGCATCTGTTAAAATATTGGTTATATAGGACACCTAGAAATCCAAGATTTCTCATGATTTCTTCATTGGTTATGGTTAATGGGAAATGTTAAGCAGAAGGTTAGTCAAGTTTCATTCCTAGCCATAATTCCTTTAAGGGTATTATTTATTTTATGTGTCTTGGAATTTACGGTAAAGGAACAAATAAATTTGCTTTATAGTTATTCAAGGTAACCATAAGGATACTGTTATAGTAGAAAAATCCTTCTGCATAATTAAAATTATCACAGGAATGCGCATCTACCTGACAAAAAGCTAAGCAATGTATAATTATTGAGCATACTGAGTGAAAAAATAACGGTTTAACTCCGAAAATGATCTTAAGATATTTTCTTTTCAGATTTAGAAAGCTTCTGAATTAAATTTAAATAAAATATTATTAAGCCAGTGTAAATAAGAACACTGGCATACGGAGTAAGAAATTTAGCTACTTTAAAGTTGTATAATTTAGAACTAAGAGCCATGTTTATCCTTATTGAGAATCCTTTGTGATCATATAAGTTGGGATATTTTCATTCACCCAATTGCATTTCTAGATACAGTGAAGCTTAGCCATATGTTACTTTAAGGATACTTTACCTGCTAGTAGCAGTTTCTATGAATACCAGCTGGGGATTTAAGGAGAGGTTGCACCTATTACCTATACCTGAGGTTCTAACTCCTTGTTAATTCCTACCTATGCTCTATTACCCGTTATATATAGTGTCCTGAGGCTTTCCATCCAGTATCAGTAACTCCCCAATCATGGCCAGGCGTACACAATCCCGATACATCTTCGAGACCGCGGAGAGCATGCGAATTTTCCGCCATCAGCGATTTGTAAATGGTTCCCGGAGAGCGGATTGTCCCACCTGCGAGAGTCGCACACCTGTGAGTGAGCCGTACAGTCATCACTGGCATAACGATATCGCAAATAACCGAAGTCACCATATTAAAATCGGTACGGAGGAGCGAAAGATCCTGAAAACAATCGAGGATCAGGACATCGAAGTGTTTATGCTGTGCGATGGAAGCATCACAGCAAGGACGAATGACTTTCTGCTGGACGCAGGCATGGATGCAGTGCCTCAATTATTACGATTCCTTATTTTTGGTACAGAAAAACTGGAGGTCAGTGTTGGATTCTACGTGGACGTAAAGACGGAGCGAATGTTCTTCGAGAGCAGTCCCTTGAATATTGAACATCATTTGGATATTGGCGAAGCGGTGGACATGATATTCTCTATGCTGCTGGAGAAGATTAGCAACTATGTGCTGCTCCATCAAAGGGTTCCCTTGGAGGCATGTGTGATTAAAAGGATGAAGGTGACTGCCAAGCGGCACTGCTATCCACCGAATGCCACTTGTGTCTCCAAGCTTCCCCTACAATATCGGGTGAAGAACGCAGCCGGTTGCCTTGAACGTGGCGTTAAAGAATCATCCACTGACTTGGCATTGGTTGCTGAGAATTACCTCAAGCATGGGGACAAAGGACGACCTATTCCTGCTTCCTTAAACATAATATCTACTGCTTTCGAGTTTGCACCACCACCAAGGAATTGTATACGGTTCCCTATCTCCTACGTGGAGAGGATGTGGAAAACACCCCACTTTGTCCTGCAAACGGACGTGGTGGTGGTTTCGAGGTCTTCTAGAGATCAGGAATATAAGGAAGTTCCTGCGAACGGATATCCAGGATCGGGTCTTCGAGTGTCGTCAGTGTCAGTCGCACTTCGTGGATCGAGTACATTTGCTCTCCACAAGCAGATAGACTGTGGCCGCAATTTTATGGTGTGGAATATGGACAAGGACGCCATCGAGCTACATGAGAACTGTATACCCTTGCCGAAGGAATACTTCAAATACGAATGGATTGGCCTGGCCAGCAAGCGAAATAGTCATAATATCCAGTATTTTATTTGAATTAATTAAGATATAATGCAAATTGAAATATATGGCTCTTGGCAATCAGAAAAGGGCATTTTTATTCGAACAAGAAGATTTAAAATTTGTGCTTTCTCAGGAATTTATTCCATATTTTTATATGCTAATTTTTTTGGGCAAATCCAATTTTAAAAATATCATAACTATATGAAAAATAAATAATTTCAATTCGGAAAGCAGTTTTATGCTAGTTTTTAGAAGCTTAATAAATCTGCATACTCCTTTTAGAATATTAAAAAAATCAATTTTTGGCAAATTTTTTTGACAATTTTAACGATGTAACCCCTTTTAAAATTTGGAAAAAATTTCGAAAATTTATTTTTCTACCGGAAATGGCTAGTTCGACTCGGCTGTTGATGCTGATCAAGAATATAATGGTTTATAGGGTCGGAAAGCCCTGATTCACTGATTTTGAAGCTTCTGACAAAACTATAAATGCGAATTAGTATGGACAAAACTATAAATAGAATTAGTAAATAATAGATAAACATCATAAACATTGCGAAGTTTTGAATGTATGAATTTTATCCCTATATAGATAGTAAAAGAAAACTTATACGATAAAACTAAAAGCGTATAATACATATATTTGAATTTTCGTTGGGAGGGAAAATCAAGTATGCCATCTTATTTCTGGCATAATTAGTCTGGCAACGCCATTATCATTTTGATTTGTTTAAGTGAGACCAGTTGCCGTCTATCGCGTCCGGACAGTAGTATCGATAAAATTAAGCAAACATTAAACATTTGTTGAATCTGCAGAAGCCGGCGAAACAAAATGAATCCACTGGATAAGATACATGCTCTGGACGAGATCGAGAAGGATATAATCCTTTGCATGCAGAGTGCAGGTGAGTGGGACATGCGAAAACATCACCAGCATTGGTTTATATTCGCCAATCTTCACAGGCCAAGCACTGCAGGAATTGGGCAAAGAGAAGTCGTCACAGAAAAATGCCGAAACCCAGTCACAGCAGTTCCTCAAGAGCTTGTCTAGCGTGGAATCAAAGCTATCGGAGCAAATCAACTATTTAACCCAAGTGTCCACAGGTCAGCCGCACGAAGGTTCCGGCTATGCGTCCGCCAAGGTCCTCCAAATGGCCTGGCACCGCATCCAGCATGCACGATCCGAGTTCGTGAGCTAGAGGAGACCAAGGCGAAGCATTCGCATGCTGCCCGTCAGCAGCAGAAACGTCAGCAGGAGCACGCCGCAGCCGCCCAACAACAGCAGCAACAACAACAACAACAACAGCAAGCTGCTCAGCAGCAGCAACAACAACAGCAGGCTGGACCTGGAAGCGGAGGGGGAGCCGCTGGCGGCGGAGAACATCCAATGGGAAGCAGTGATTCCTCAATGTCCACCAATTAATTTTAAGAGTATATAAGTTTCTATAAAAAAAATGCCAAGTTGAATAAACAAGATCTCAATTTGCAACTTAAATGTGTACTTGTAATGGCTTAAAACTATTTCAACTAAAAATGGTCACAAATCTGAGGTTTTACCTCTGGTTTATCACAAGTGGAAGCTAGCTCAGTTGCTTCTCCATTATTAGGTGCAGCATCAGAGCTTTTAGCAGGTTCTCTACTTTGCCCAATGCCAAAGAAATTCCTTTCACAAACAAAACGTACGCACTGCAATAGACATTCCTTTCATGCCGTATGTCAGTTTCCAAGAGTTTGGACAACAAGGTATTCTGTGGCGTTGTCTTGCGAGCTTTCTTGAAGTTCAAGCCATAGACACGCTTTGGTGCAGCTCGTTTGGGAGCTATTTTGGCTACACACTCCTCTTAGGTTGCGGCTTGGGAGGATCTGCCTGCACTATGGTTTCGGTTACGCGTTGGAAAGGCTCTTCATCGGGTGCCTCATCGGAAGAGAATTATTTTCCTTATCTAGAGGACTTGATTTTGACAAAGGTTCATCTTTACAGGTGAAGAAGGTTCAACAGATGCAGGAGTTGGAATATCAGACTTGAAGCGTCTTTTGTGGGTTCTAAAGTGTACTTTCAATTGCAAGTTCCCTGTTGTTAATTAGGTTTTTGCTTAAATCTCTTTCTTCAAGTTCTAAACTTTCAATTTGTATGCTTTCCGTGTGAACTTTAGAATCTCCTGACGCAGTTCTGTTAGCATGTAGATCCTCTTCCATTAAATCATTCTCTGATCCACTTACCTCTTCGCTATCTGAGCCATACATCCCGACGAGGCCAATTAAAGCGTTCTCCTTTTTGGAAACTTTATCCTTGAAGTGCTTGTAATCTGTCATTTGTCCTGTGCCCTGGAATTTGCCCGAGGAGAGATTCGTTTCATCATCTTTTGATGTTCTTCCGCGTTTTTCTTCTCAGAAGTAGATGTCTTTGCATTATTATTGTTCCTTCTTTCTTTGGCCTTCATATGGCTTTCTCTGTCCTCTCCTTTTCTTTTTCTTTGTGGGCTTGGCACGCTCTTGGTGATCTTTCGTGGACGCGTTCTTTGACGATCTTCACGGTTTCCAAAACGAGCCTTGGAGGCCTCTAAGCGCTCACCGCGTTTTATTCGCTGCTCCTTGGCCAACCTGGCTTGCTCCACATTGGCTGCCGTGGGAAATCTAGAAGAAAAATGTTAATAAGGCGTACAATAGAATTGTCAACTGACCTTTTTCTTCGTTCTGCCCTCCAAGCAGCCAGCTCTTCCTCTGTCCACACTTCTTCACCCTTTTATAGTCTCCCGTAATGTGATTAGCTTCTATATGTCGCTCCAGAATGTTGTGAAGGGCAGCAAAATCGCAATCATCGGCGGGACAATCTTCGTGCTTGTCCAGGTGAAGCTTCATGTCCTGTGAATTGGCCAACTGCATGCCGCAGGTGTGACAATACTCGGGACGCGGTGGAGATTTGTAAACAGGAGTTGCCGGCACACCACTATAGCTATCCTGTTATATAAATAGATCAATTTAATGAGTGAAACTGTGTGTACTTAGGGACACCAACCTTTTCCCTGGCCAGGTACTGTGCAGGCACTGTGGATCCTCGTGCCCCGTACATGGGCGGCGGTTGCTTGGCCCTAGGCAGCAGCGTCATCCCGCTGGGGGTCAGGTAGTGGTGCGAGGGTGTGGTTCGCGCATTTGGCTTGTCAAATTTGGGCGATGGCAGTACAAATTTTGGCTTAATCTGTTCACCCATTTCGACTATCTTGAAAATGTTGAAAACAATGTGCGCGAATCGGGGCAGTGTGACCGGAGCAAAAAAATACTGAAGTGCACTTAACAATACTGAAATACTTAATACTATAAAAATAATCGATTGCCGATTGACCTAGTGTGCCCGCAGCGTACTGTTGTTGTCGCGAGCAACAAAAACAATTTGCAAGTCAATTGAGAGAGATCAACGTTAATTGTATTTATTAAGTTTAGGCGTTTAGACTAGAGAACAATACTCACCGGGACGACGAAATGCAAAGCGTACTCAACACCGTAAAAGGCACGGCGCTCAATGTTGCCGAATATCTAACGCCCGTGCTCAAGGTAATTGATAGAAGTGCAACAACAAACTAAAAAGAAAAACTTTGTAACTATCGCTGTGATTAAATGAAAAGCAGACCTACAAAGCGTATATATACAAGCCAGCATCTGTTCAAAGGAAAACCAGCAAAGATAAGGGCCTCCACTCTCTGTGCTATGTGTATATTGATTCGCCCGTTTTCCCCCAACGATTTCCCATTCCCTAATGACCATAAAACCGGATTCGTCGCCAGACTGTCGCCGAATTAATTTTTCACAGCACTTAAATTTCCCTTTCTTTTTTTAGGAATCTAAGTTCCGGGAGACGGGCGTCCTGACCCCCGAGGAGTTTGTGGCCGCCGGCGATCATCTGGTGCATCATTGCCCCACCTGGCAATGGGCTGCCGGGGATGAGACCAAGACGAAACCATACCTACCAAAGGGTGAGTTTACCAATTGAAGTCCATTAAAATTAATTAAAATCATTTTTTCATCATCAATCCCCAATCCAGATAAGCAATTTCTGATAACGCGCAATGTGCCATGCTATCGACGCTGCAAGCAGATGGAATATGTTGGCGAGGAGACGCTGGTGGAGGAGGAATCTGGTGATGGCGGTTGGGTTGAGACCCATCAGCTCAATGATGATGGCACCACGCAGCTGGAGGACAAGATCTGTGAACTGACAATGGAGGAGACAAAGGTGAGTAAAGCGTAAATATTTACCAAGTTTATCTTTATCCAAACAAAATTGTATTTCTCTTGCAGGATGAAATGCACACTCCAGATAGCGATAAATCCGCACCAGGCACTACAGCCGGAGCTGAGGACGAGGATGAGGATGATGACGAGGCCATTGATATGGATGATTTCGAGGAGAGCGGCATGCTGGACCTAGTCGATCCGGCCGTGGCCACTACCACACGAAAGCCCGAGACGGAAACAAAGGCCGCTGGCGCACCGTCGTCGGCGGCGGCAGCGGCAGGTGGCGAAGCCAGCGGTGGTGGTGACTCAGCCGTGCTCCACACGCGCACCTACGACCTGCACATCAGCTACGACAAGTACTATCAGACGCCACGCCTCTGGGTGTGGGCTACGATGAGCAGCGCAAGCCCCTGACCGTCGAACAGATGTACGAGGATGTATCTCAAGATCATGCCAAGAAGACGGTAACCATGGAGTCGCATCCGCATCTTCCAGGCCCCAATATGGCCTCAGTGCATCCGTGTCGACATGCAGACATCATGAAGAAGATCATACAGACCGTGGAGGAGGGAGGTGGCCAGCTGGGCGTGCATTTATATTTGATAATATTCCTGAAATTCGTTCAGACCGTCATACCGACCATCGAATACGACTTTACGCAGAACTTTAATATGTCTTAATTAAAGAAAAATTAATTTAAAACGCTTGTCTCTGCAGAATAAAGTGCTTCGGCTAAAAAGAAATCGCCTTTCGTTTTTATAATTACTTTTTATTTCACTTTGCTTTTGTTGGTTGCATGTTTGAAACATCTCTGAGATGAAAATTGTATGTTAACATAATTAATAATAAAGCATATTTTAAATCAAATTGATCCAAATATGCATTGTAGTTTTGTTTTAGGTAGTTTTGTTTCTAGTTAAATGATTTCCTTCTTTTTAACAGTTTTTCAAACTTAAAATGTGTGTGTTGTTGTGTTGTGTGTGTGTGTTGCTTGCATTTATAATTAATCATTTAATGTATATTATATATATAACTGTTAGATCCTTCTTTTTTTTGTATTTTTTCATGGGTTTATATAATATGTATATATAGATTTTTCTTAATAGTTAAAATCACTTTTCATTTGCAATAACAGGTTCACATCGTAATCAATTTTACACAATAAACAAATACCTAAACGCCATTCACACACGCCTGAAGAATATACATTTAAATATATGTTGCAAGTGTATATATCGATCGTTCCCTTCTTCTACTATAACGTTAACGTCAACAATTTGCCTTGCCTTTACTTTACTTACACATCTTTTAAATATATAACTGATCCACTTGCCGCCTATTATGCCTAAAACCTCAACACTAACTCTCCGCATTGCCAACTTGTACACGTTATTTACCCATAATTTTTGTTTACTTTTTTTACATTTTTATAATACATACAGAGACCTAAATATATATATATATAATGTGTATACCTAGGGCAAACCTATATAGTAGATGTCGTCGTGCTTTTCGTTTTGTATTTTCCTTTTGCCTTTTTGTCCCCATAACAATTATCTTGCGTCTGCCAGCATATTTTCTAATGTAATATTCGTGAAACATTATTAAACAATCTTTGTTTTAAATTTGAAATGTGTGGTGTGTGTGTGTGTTCTTTTTTTACTGAATCTGAAGTTCATTTCAAATATTTTTGTTTAAGTTTATAAGGTACGTTTTGTTTAAGCGCAAAATGCCTAGGCAAAAATGAAGGCAATGAAGCAGAAACGAAACGATATCCAAGAATATGAATTAATTTAATTAACTTAGTATTCGAATTGAAAATGTGTCCATTAATCGTTTTCATTTTATTAAATACAGTTTATTTGGTTTGTTTATTTCGATCTTTTGTTTTGATTTTTTACAATATATATTCTTCTTGTTTTTGTGTTTAATTCGATTTCTGTTCCGCTCTCATTGCCCAAATTACTGACTAAGCATCTATGTTACTTTTTACTTGTTCATAAAGTAGGTATTTTTATTATTTATAATTTTGCTGCTTTGCACAAAATAAGTGTATTATGTTTTTCATTTAGATAATAGCTTTACACACTTTCTGGGATGCTGCTGCTGCTGCTGACACTTTGAAACAATTACGTTTTTTTGGTTGAAATTTACAAACAGTTGAAACAGTTGCAGCTAAATTTAAATATATATATATATATATCTTTACTATATATGTATGCAGTTTTAAACATGATCTTTATTAATATATAATGTATATATATATAATTTCTTGCCTTCATCTTCTTCATCCTCTTGTTTTGTTGTAGGTAGTTGTTTGCATTGTTTTCTTACACACTTAAATTGAAATTACATTTAATAATATACACATACTACATTCATACCATTATGAACACCTATAATTTTTGCTTTGTATGGATTTTCCCTCGATTTTTCATCTTTATAATATTTAGATTAGACGCAAATACTATGCAAGACACTTGGCGCGCGCGAAAAGTTACAAAAAACGACAGATAATTGGAAAAAAATAAAACAACTATAGATTAAAAACCGAAAATACTAGTGTTAAAAGTGTTTTGCTGCAGGACGCTTAAAAAGTAACGCCAATTTACATAAAAATATATATATATATATACGAATATATATATAGATTTTATCCATAAGTATCGTATATGTAGAGGTACAATATATATAAAAATAAAATTTCTCATGCTTCTCTTTTGAAAGTTTTGGGAAGGGGTTGATCGTTCCCTTTTAAATTTCTAACCATACATGCTACAATATATTCTCGCTTCTCAAAATTGCTTTATCGGGGGACGCGACTCTACACAAATTAAAAACACGCATTAATTTAAGACGAAAATTAATTAATTAGTTTAACGTTAAACTAGACCTAACCGTAAACGTAATAATAATTAAACATTGAATCAACAAATGTGTGTTTGTGTGTGTGGTGTTTATGTGTGTGATAGTTGTTGTTGTTGGTGGTTGGTGGTTGGTGGTGGTGGTAGTGGTAGTAGTGATGATGCATTCTCCATATCAAATATGGAATTCTGTATCCTTTCTCCGTTCGCTCCGGTTGCCTCGGGGATTCCCTCGCTCGCCTCGTTATTTACATTTCATAAATGATTAAGTATTCCGTGTCATATGTTGAGGTTTCCCCAATATTCTACACCTTCCGCTTGGCGTGTAGCATCTCCATGAGCAGCGTTTGGGTTGGTGCACTGCCGGCACAATGCTTGGAGTATAGGTGCTCCTCACCGCGTGCGGCCATGGCATGGATTTCCGGTAAGATGTTCACTAGCCTACTGAATTTGTCCTGCAGATTATCGAAAAATAGGCGAGTTAATTATGTATTTAATATATATATTAACATTTTACTTACATTAACTGACGGATAACAGGTGAGGGTGTAGTCCAGCAAAGCGGCTTGCACATTATCATGTCCCTCGGAAACAGTCTTCCGGTTGACAATACCCCGCACATCTGAAACACCAAAAAACGGAAGAACATAAGAAGGTTGACCATCTGCTAGGGAGGGTGTTATACGGCCTTACTTGGATTCAAGAGGATTAGGAATTTCATGCAGACATAGTCGCCCATATCGAATTTCAAATCCTGCAGCTTATTCTGCAGCTCGTTGAAATAATCGCCCAATTGTGGTACACCCAACAGCCCAGACTGAGCAGATTGAAGACCTGACCATTATTCAGCTGCGTCTCATCGGGCAGGCCATTGTGAATGCGATGATGCAGGTGATCCAGGACCAACATGTCTGACCACGAATGCTGCAGTAGCTTCATTTGATCATCGACCTGGTATCAAGAAATTAAATGATAATATTTCATTAATAATTGAAGAAATATATAAGTTTAATGGTGTTATAAGAGAAAGACTGAACAGTTGCCACTAGAAACTTGATCATTATTTTGTAGATTCATTACATTTAGTTTATTTTAGAAGATTATAATCTCGTTTCTTATCAGAATATCAATACTCTACCAATATTTTGTAACAAAATCTATAAAATTTCAATAAAATAAAGAAAGTTGACCAGTTTTCAGGTGGCAACCGCTTTTGCATTGGATTTAATAGATACGTTTTTTTTGTATGATGATATTGTGGTATGCAGATATATGGTTAAGGCCTAGCTTTTTGGATGCTCTGGTATTACGACACGCCCTCTCTTTTTGTCGCTCCTGGTAGCGCTCAGTTTCTCTCAGTTTCTCTCCCCCACTGACTCAGTTTCTCTGCCGCTCTTTGGTGCTGTTGCTGGTATGGGTGAGCACATCACATCAGTTGCGTCACTGAGCGAGAGACGCGGTCGCTGGGCTGGCTGACTGAATGACTGACTGACTGGTTCGGCTTTGCTGGCTAAGTAGGTCAGACGCCAAATGAAATCGAAATTCAATGCAGAGATTCTCTGCCAGCGTCGCTGTCGAAGCCGTCGTCGCTGGTTTTTTTTACATAACATGCCGCAGACTTGGCCCCTATAGCTTCACAAAAAAAAAAAAAAAAACTAAACTGGTTTCTGGCTTTGAACCATGTATTTGCGGCCGCTGTCTGCTGGTATCTGTGTTGTCTGCTGCTTTTCCTGATCAACTGATTTACTCTGATTTGTGGTTGAAAACGGGTACGGGTACATGGGAGCAGGGAAGGACACTAGCCATACCTTGAGGTCCTTGAAGAAGACCGTATTCCGTGCCCAGTCCACTTGCGAGAACAAGTTCTGGTCGAGCACTTTGCACATTAGCTCGAAGAGATCCACTTCCACCTGGTTGTAGGTCTGCTTTTGCAGCAAAGCAAACAATTGCGTCTGCCATTCCCGATCGTCGATTGATTGCACAAATTCACGAATCATTGGTGAGACTCTGCGGGAATTTAATTTAAAAGAATTAAAGTTAATTTGGGTACATATAAATTGATTTGCTAAAACTCACCTTAATGGCTCAATAAGCGCATCGGCTGTGCTCGATGGATGTGTGCCGGAATCAAAGCTTTAGTTTGTTTTAGAGAGAGAAGAATATAAAAGAATTGGGGTTTTTAAATGTTTAAAGATCTTCAAGATGAAGGAGCGCTCATCAAGTGACATTTGCAGCAAATCGAAGAAAGGCAGACAACTAACATTATTTTAAGACAAAATTTAAGTAAAGAATTGATAAGTTTAAAACTATTTCCTAAACAAAAACATATTCATATCCTTTATATTATATCAGAGTCTTTTTAAATCGAAAAAATCAAGGACTTATCCAGGAATATCTTTAAAATTATCTATCAACTATAAAAATCAACTATAAACAATATTACTGCCTTTCTCATTTCTAATATTTGCTGCACATAATCATTTTGAATCATTTTCCATAAAATTTCATATAATATATAACGAGAATTTGTAGTTTTCAAAAGTTTTGAATATAACTTTAGCGTTCTGTTCTCGGTTGACATTTCTTTTCTTGGCTAAATACCACAATTTCGAGTCGGCCGTATTCTGCAGAGATCCAATTCCAGCCTCGTGGCCACCATTACGATGCAGGCCATCTCCGGAGTTATTGCCGCCACCGCCGCCGCCTCCTCCCCCGCCGCCTGCATTGTTGCCGCCGCCGCCGCCACCTCCTCCTCCTCCACCACCGGCGGACGCTCCATTGCCCGTGCTGCTGCCGTTATTATTGCCGCCGCCGGTACTGCTGCTGCTGCCGTTGCTGCTATTGCCATTGCCCACGGAATTGGGACCATTGAGACCCCCACCATTGCCACTGTTGCCACTGCCACCGTTGCCGGCATTCATGGGCGTGGTTATCACACCGCCCGTGCTGGCATTCACCTGTCCCAGCGCAATGGCAATGGGACTGGGCGACGAGTCCGGCGATTGGGTGAGTGAGGATACCTGTTTAAGGAAAGGTTAGATTATTAATTTAATATCAATTTGATGGTTTAATTCTTACTCACCTGAGGTATTTGAATTTCCTGCTTAATGTTCATATTTGGATATGCTTGCTGGTAGCCCGGCGAGATCGGCGTTGGCTTTATATCCGGACCCATTGAGTTGCGAAGCGCTTGGAGTGCCAACTGTCGTTGCCTCATCACTTGCAGCTTCCGCGCCCGATCTCGTTTGTACATCGGTCCAAATTTGTTCCTGCCACCCCGCATTCGATCCGCTCGAACAGCTGTAAAGGAAAATATAGGGAATTTTGGATTAGTTTTAATATTTAATAGTATTTATTGGTTGGATTATAACTATCAGTTTATCATTCATATTTATAGAACAAAAAAGAGAGTAAAAGTCAACTTTATAACAAAAATAAAACACTTTGCAAGGCATAGAATATATACATATCTACCAGTATTAATGTCAGTATCCTTAGAATTATTAAATATGACTCTTTTTTATATCCAAAATTTATAATGCTTTTATTATTAATTATTCTTTGAACTAGCAAAGACATGTAATTATTTTAGAATTTATTTTAAAACTCCCTTCTTTTAAGTGACCCAAATACACCCTCTCTCTTTCTCCCTGTGGAAAATCCTATTCCTTTTTTATATATGTATGTATATATTTACCATATTTCTCATTAAAAAAGCCAACTCATAATGTCGCTTAACAAAAACAAAGCACTGGCAAAGGCGCACAAACAAGCTCACGCACATGGAAATTGTAGTTACATATTTACGTATATTGCGCATACGCCACAGTGTACCGCGGCATCAAAACAAAAACTATACAACACTCATACATATGTATGTATGTGTGTAAGGCCGTGCGATTGTGCGTTTGTGTGTTTATACATATGTGGGAACACGCTAAATGAAACGCAATAAAATGCGCTTCTTATGGCGCAGCACGGAAAAAGAGCGTAAAGGGTGCACGGAAAGAAAAATAGTTCTAAAGGTATGCAATAAATACTAAAAGATTTAAAATAGAATATTCAAAGACTTGGTTAAATATAAAAAATATATGTAACAATAAGTAAATATTTAATTGAATTAAATTTAGCCAAACTAGATTACTATTTCAGGGGTTTTTAGGAGCTTTAAGTTTATCAAGTCGAAATTTGTATACTCTTGCAGTTTGAATATTCAAAAATCCATACTCTTTTTAATTTTTGTCAATTTATATTTCAATAAAAAGTATTTTATGAGTTATTAATATTGATAAATCTAATAAAAATGGGTATATAAAGGTATGATTAATAGAAAATACATTTAATAAATAAAGTAAATTTTGCTATTATTATTATGCTATTTACTTTATATATTAAATTGTTAATTTAGGTAGTTTTTTTAAGAGAGAAGAGCTATAAACTATTTAAAATTTAACGAAAAACTATGTATTCAACTATAGCATTTTGAAATTAGTATTTTGAACTAAAATGGTATGTATTCATAAATACTTGACTTCTAAAATATATCTTTTAAAAACTCAATTTCACAATTATTCGTTTCAAAAACATTTAATGCTTGTTTTATCAAGCCAAAAGGTAATAAATTAATATAAATCAATGTTTTATTGTGCAATTTTTTGCTCTGTAAGAGTGAGAACTGCGAGGGTGGCTTGAGTCCAAAAACAGATTGCAATTGCAGCTAGCGCCGTGTACATTTACAAGATGCAATTCTCGGGGGTTGTTTTCGCGCAATAAAAAACAAAAAGGAAAAAGAAAAGATACAAAAAATGCAAAAAGGAGAAACGCAAGGGCGACAATGGGTGGCGGCAGGTGGTGGCCACCATAAAATATGCATTTCAAATCCAAAAGGCAAAACGGAGAAAAATTAAGACACAAACAGATGCAAACACACTCTCGCACACACACCAGCGCAGCTTTTTGATATATGCAATTTTAGTGCGCTGAACAAGTAACTGTAATTTAGGTCAAGCGTATTGTTTACAAATAATCAACATACATACATACACACATACAAACACATGCAGGTGGTGGTAGCCAAGTGTTGGGGCTTTAGCTCTCTCAAACGCCAACCGCTACGCTCTCTCTCTACTCTCACGCCGCTTTCGCTCTCGGTGGCCCCACCACTCTCTCTCTCTCTCTCGCTCTCCTTCGATTATGGTTATTTTGGCTTGGCAACGCGAAAGAGCTTTCTATTACGACATTTCAAGCGAGAGGGAGAGGGAGAGCGAGCCCCATTAGACAGAGAGGCTTTCCGCATTAGACAACTTTGTTGAGTGGAGTAGGTCAAGGACAGTGTGTGTGAAAACTGGGACAACGTGGCCATTGTTGTTGCCTGCCAACTCTCCCAAAATGAAGAAAAACTCACTCGCTCTCTCTCTCTCTCTCTCCACACTCTCACTCGCTTCGCATGCTCCACTCTCTCTTGGGAAAGTTGTTTGTATTTGTGGGCGCCGTTTTTATTTCTTTTCTTTTTACGACTTTTTCCGGCTTGGTATCAAGACTATTTATGTTGGGCAAGGTAAAATTCAATAAATACAACAAATACTATCGATTTCAGGTTTATCGAATTGATATAATACTTTTTTTCTGAATTAGCTTGATCTTAATTTTTTACCATTATAATTTCAGTTTTTCTTCATGTTAATTTCAAATTTTTCTTAATGATATTTAAAATATAAACCTACTAATTTCTTAAAAACTATTTGTAAAGCCAAATAAATTAAAATTCATTTTTAAAATTTCGGATTATGTATTAATAGGTTTATGTAGAGTATTTAAAGTATTTATGGTATTTTAAGAATTTAAAGTATTTGAAAAATTTAAAGTATTTTAAATATTTGAAGTATTTTAAGTATTTAAAATATTTTAAACACTTTAAAAGTTGGGTATATTTTAGTTTTTACCATTATTTAAATGCCGACTAATATTTTCTTCGAGTGTACTTGACTTACATAATTTCCTAGCGACATTTTTTCACTTTCAACCTGGGTTTTTATTTAGATTTTCACCTTTTTTCGACTATGTTTTTTGTGTGTGGGGGGTTAAAGTGGTTCAATTTGTAAGCGTCACATACAAAAATGTTTTGTTGAAAGTTATTCTCAACCGACAGCTCTTCCTTTACGACCTTTCCCTCTCTTTTCCCAAAATTTCCCCTTTTTTTTTTGATTTTCTCACAAAGTCAGCCGGGAAATCAATAAATACGGCCTGTCAGTTTGCTTTTTTTATCGTAGGCGTCTTTTTTTCCGAGGTTCAAGCCATTTAAAACTGTTTGTGTTTGTATTTTTTGTGTTTTAAGTCGTTTACAATTTGTTTGCCGCTAATTTGGGTCACTGGTGCGTATGAGTGATTTTTTGGGCAAAGTTTTAAGCTTAGTTTCCGTAGCGGATGTTGTCATCGAGTTTCATTTAATTTAACGATTTAAATGGCCAACGATTCTTTAACTAGTTTGTATGTGAACATGCCTTGCACAATATCTTGTCACTTAAAAATAGAGTATTGATTTTGAAAAATCAATTGGGCACAATATTACGTATACGAGGCGTGGGTTTTTATGGGAAACCCGATTAAAATCTCTATATTTTAAAGAATTTTGAAACAATTGGTGCAGTTATTAATTATTCAATTGATAAAAGAAATAATGCTTTATAAATATTCTTCATAGGATTCCATAGACATTACGTATACGCAGTATGTACCTAAAATCGGTTTCGAACAAAATTGAAGACACAAAAATACATTATATCGAATCGGAAATCGATTAAAAATTAACTTCAAATATTTGCATTTTTATCGAAATTTATAGATAATTTTATATGACAATTTTTTCGACAAATAAAAGTTTAAAAAACTCATAACTAAGCCAAAAATCCATTAATTTCGATTCGGAAAGCACACCTGTGTTAGTTTTTATAAGATTAATAAATCTGCATACTCAATTAAAATTGAAAAAAAAATAAAATTTTTATGTTATTTTTTTTACAATTTTATGGCTTTGAAAATTTGGAAAAAAGTAGTAAAAATATTTTTCCTTCTGAGATGGCTAGATCGATTCGGCTGTTGATGCTGATCAAGAATATATATGATTTATAGGGTCGGAAATGACTCCTTCGCTGTTTTATAAGCTTCGGACTATAATTTTAATACCCTGAAAACGGTATAATACCGTTAACCTTAACTAAAGATTGAGAAACAGTGGCTCCTTTAAAAAAGTGAAAAAAAGAAACATCGCTAATCCCCAACAATCTCAATTTGTTACCTGTTTGTTAAATTAACCCAAACGCGATTGCCAAATAAATTGAGGATACAAAAAGGGCTCAAATCCCTATTGTTCCGACCTCTGAAAACCCGAAAAACATATGGCATGTGAGTCGTGTGAGTCACACTGCATAATATCCAACAGCAAGACTTTCGGCTTAGCTTTTATGGTAAAAAAAAGGAAAAAAAAAAAAAGAGACAAAACAAAAAAACTAAAGTCACAAAATCCAAAAGCGGCTAAAAATTGCCGCAATTATAAAGCCTGACTGAACGGGAAAGAGAGAGAGATATAAAAAGTTGGATGTGTGTGTGCAACGGTGGGAGGGAAAGGGGAGCTACACTGACGAAAGAGATTTCAACAGAGCCAACAACAACAACAACGGAAGGACGGAACGAGACGGAACGGAACGGAACGAACAGCAAGAAACGAGAAAATGTTCGTAATAATTCAGTGAGTATTAAAAATAAAATACACGCACACACTCACGCTACATGTTGCATTGATTACACACACTCAGTCCACCGAGAGAGAGAGAGACACAAACAATTTGCCATATCACGTGCACTCACACCAACACACTATTGGAATCTAGGTCATGAGCGCAAGAGATGGCACTATGGGCCAAGTACACAAAAGCGGAACTGAGATGGCAATACATTGATATATGTACGTGTACGCCTGAGTTATATTGCATACACTTTTGTTTTTGCTCTCGCTGCCGGCAACGCTGTCGGCGTCGCTGCCCCGGCTGACTCAAGAGTGTTTGCATGTGTATGTGTGTGTAAGTGAGTGGGAGAGCGGTGGGTCCGCAGAGAGCGTTCCGCCAAAAAAGACAACAAATAAAACTCAAATGAAAAATGATTTTTATTCGATTTTTTCGTAAATTTTATGCATACCCAAAATAATCAAGAAAAAAAGTCAAGAGTGATTAAATATGGCTTAACAACAGGAAGTACACTAATCCAAAAGAAAATCTACGAATGGCTTTTATGGCATAGCTAAAAAG